CTATAAGTTTTATATATTTTGTAATTTGTTGTTAATATATATTTTTTTATGTAATTGAGTTGGAATTATATTTTTTATATATTTTTCACAAATGGGAATTGACCATTTCTATTAGCAAAAATTCAGGGTTCAGCATTGATTATAAACAAAAAATATAACAAATCTGCCCCAAATGTGTGATAACCGAACAGATATATCTGCATTTCAAAATATAACCGAACAGATACAAAAAATATAGAACAGATTTGTACATCAGAACAGATATATAAGATTGGCATTTCCTTTAGTTTAAACAACGGTGCCTTCATAAATCTGCCCCAAATTTGTGATTCAGAACAGATATATAAGATCAACAGATCTGATTTTCATAAATAAGAACAAATATTTTAAGAAGAACAGATATATTTTATATATATATATATATATATGTATGTATGTATATATACAAATCTATCCCAAATTTGTGATTACCGAACAGATTTTGAACATAACAACAGATCCAGAATCCCAGATTTGTCACAGAGACAGATCGGTGCCCCGTCTGTGTGTAATGTAAGCGTAATCAACCCAATCACGACCGTAAAGCAACAGATCGGCCATGAATCGATGCTGTTGTGAACCTAAACTATGCAGATGGGAAGAAGAAGAAGAGAAATCAGATAGGCTATAGAGCATTACCTGCAGATCGGTTTGAGTTTGAGAGGCTTCGTTGTTGTTCGCCGCCGCAGATGCGTACTCCGGTGGTGATTTCCTCTGCCAAGGTCGCTCAGATGCCGTCAAGTAGCTCCGTTCTTCTTCTCTTCTGCTTTGCGAAGGGTGTGTTGGGTTCAATCTGAGGCTTGTCCTGCAAATGGAAGAGAGTTTAACCTATCGGGGCATTTGGGTAAATTTACACGACCAAGCCTCTCTCATACCCATGAAATGCATTTTTGTTGGGACATGGCTGAAATAGCCAACATTGTCGCGACGTGGCTAATTTAGCCCGACTTTTCCTTCCCAAACAACACCTTAGTAAATTTGGTTTTTATTTTTAGAAGAACCACAATCTGATTTTTATTTTATTTTTTTAAATTAGGTTTCTTTTGGTTGTGTTTATATACGTATGCATATATATATATATATATATATATAACTATCTATAAAAGAAGCAAACTTGAGTCTAACAATAGTTCATCTAACAAAGAGGAAATTGTGAAATCACCCTCGGTGAAGATTGCTGGGGAAGCTACGATGACACCAGCTAACCTCTATGCGGTGCTCCTCCAACAAGCTCTTCATCAATTCGAGCCACCTGTGCTGCTACAGATTAGGTGGTTTGCTTTACACCCAAGCTTGTTACTCAAGTCGTGAGATATTAGCTGTAAATTGTTAAATTTCTTTGCCGCAAATTACTCTCAAATTTATCAAAGAAATTGTTCAATTTCTTACGAGGAATGTTCGATTGAGAGTTGTATCTTCTTTTATTCTACAGTTTGCATTTGGGCTGAACTCTATATGCATTTTTCTTTCACAAACCAGTTGCAAATCCAAACAATCTGGTATGTAATTTTTTGGTTTGCTGTTTCTTTGTCTTCTATGGAGATGTCAATACCTGATTTATATGCTTCTGTATTAGATTGATGCTTGTTATTGCCCCAATTCTATTTAATATTTAGCTCAGCCTATGTATTGTCATTGTTTTGTTGTTTTGCTAGAATTTTATCTTCTGCTCACAATGTGTTTGATAATATGCCCAAACCAATAAACCATTTTGGGAAGATTTGGGATTTGCATTGCTCTTTTTTTTTTTCCTATCTTCTTTAACTTTAATAAAGCCAATGATTATGAAGTGAAGGTAATGAAATGATTATGAAGTGAAGGTAATGAAATGAGCCATTCCCGAGGAAAAAGCCAAATCAGCATGCAAGCAATGAACACTTGCAGTGTCCCTTCAAATTAAAGGACCACTCACTAGACTCCCTATTTTTTCTGGGTAAGTACTAGACTCCTTGTCAGTGGCATCAGGTTAGCATTATTGATAAACAAAAAAAAATTCTATAATTTTTTTTAATTTAATTAACTGTATAATTCTTTAGGTAGTGAAATTATGAAAAAAGATACATATAGCCTGATCTAATTGTGACAAATTTAATCAACTATATGTATATATATATTTTTTACTTTGACAAAGGAAAGAACCGCCAAATAGTGAAATGTACAAATTTAAGCTATGTGTGTATGAAATAAACGGCACTAGCAGCTCACCACGCACTGAGTATGAAAAAACAAGATACGTGACCATTTCTTCCCCCCTACAAATCCCATGCATAATGTATCTATTTCCAAGAATAATTTAATGGGGTTGTTCTCTTGTTAATCATTTACTAACTAGTATTAGTAAAAAAAAAAATAACGCCCAATTAGTACACATTAATGTATGTTTGGGAGGAGAAAAATTGAGTACACACATATTAGTATGAATCTATTATCTTTGTCACTCTCCTAGGTAATGTTAACAGGAGTAGTTGAAGAGGGATGGAGCTCTTCAAGGTTGCTTTTACTGCCTACCTTATTTGGGTGTGTTTGGCTGTGTGGTTGTCTGTTTTCCCATAGCTAATGCTTGTTATTTTGGTTGTTGTGGAAAAGAAAATCATGTTAAATTAGAGCAGCCTATATTAATTAAGCTACATCTTGGAAGGAATTGAGTAGTTTTTAACTTGGCATCCAAATTTTCATGGAATCACTTTACAGTTGCAAAGTGCAATCATTTTAGGTTCAAACATATTTTTTATTTCGCCTTCTTTTGAAATTTGGTATTAAAACAAAAAAGAGTGAACATTGTGTATTTGCTCTTTTTCACGACCCTCTGGCACAATTTGTTGAAAGAAGTTTTAAATTTTTTAATTTTTTTTTTCCTGTTGAATGATTCATTGAATTGTGGTTTTCAATCTTGATATGTTACTGATTTTTTATTTGAATTGGAACCAAATTTGTTAATCAGGTTTGTTTTCCACTTACAGCTGCATGAGCATCTTCTGGCCACTGTGAATTCTGAAAAGTTCTCAACGCAGCTTAAATCCCTCTATGATGAATCTATTGATGGAATTGGCTCCGAATTTCCTTTTTAAGGAGGCCTCAGGTTTCCCCCTTCCCTTCAATTAGTGGATTCTATATCTATTTTCTATAGATTTCTATATTACATGATAGAATCTAAGTTAAGTTTAATCTAATTAATTTCAGTGAAGAAACTGATCTGTGTAAGTTGAGCGTGATTTTCAATCCAAGAAATTTAGTTCTATTTAAGGATCAAATTTCAGATTAAATTTTGGAGAGAGAGAGAGAGAGAGGGAGTATTACTATTGATTCGATAGTGCTTGAATATTTATTGAACTGATTGATTCCGATAGTTAAATTAGACACTTCATTCTTAAATAGACTCACACAGTTAATGATCAATGAAGGAGGAAACTTGGTAATGGTGACTTTCTAATATTGTTTCTGGAAAAAAGGATCGATTTTTGTAAGAAAATTTTATCTACTATGAAGAGTCTATGCTGTGAACTCAGTGCTGTTTGTTCTGTTCTCTATATGTGCAATTTGAGTTTATAAAATTTAATCTGATGAAAAAAAATACATATTTAGGAGGGAAAGTGAATGATATGGAAGGGGAAGAGTTAGTTCACATCCTGTTTGGTGGAACTGACCCAAAAAAAAAAAGAATTTGATGGGTACATGGATATTAGTGTTTTGTGAAGGATATTTGGTGACTTGCGTTAGGTAATTTAAAAATTACAGGGATATTAGTGTTTTATATTTTTTTGCAAGCTTAAAATTAATTATATTGTAAATATTTTTTTGTTTTGGTTTTTTTTGCAGATGCTACCCTTTTGAGTATGTGATGATATCTTCGCATATCAATATTAGACCTTGCTGTTGATAATAAAACAAGCTATAATATGTATATATAAATATATTTTTATTTGTATTGTCAATAATTTTGTTTTGTTTTAAATATATTTTTGTATTGTTGGAGGATGTTTTATATATTTCTGTAAAGAATATTTGGTTGACACTGTATTGTTACAGGGTACATATATATATATATATATATATATATTATTCATATATATAATTTTGTGAATGTGAATGTGGATGTATTTTATTTTAGAAAATATTAATAATTTATACATGGAATGAATTAATAAAATATATATATTTTATGAAAATAATTATTTTGCTACAACAATAAACCATCGCTAATGTAATCATCATTTCCTTGCATTTTATTAGCGACAGATTAACCTGTCGCATATATATATTAGTGTTATCTTTAGCAACGATTTAAATTGTTCCGAATACATTATTGATTTAATTTTATTTTTTTGTGACGTTTAAGACCGTCACTAATAATACTTTTCGCAACGTCAACTACCGTCTCCAAAAAAGTTTTTGGTGACGGCATCTAAAAACGTCGTTAAAAATTGCTTTTTCATGTCAGTTTAAATCGTCGCAAAAAATAATGATTTACCGTCACTATGAGGAAGCGATAGTTTGTAACCATCGCAAATACTTTTTGTCACGCTCCCTTCTGTCACCCCTCATTTCCGGTTGCTACTCCGTCGCAAAAAAATTTTTGGAACAATATATGAATCTTTTGCAACGTTTGAAACCGTTACAAAAAGTCCAATTTTTAGTAGTAATGTAACATGGATTTTGAAGAGTCTTTGGCCCAAAGTATTGATAAGATTCTCCTCCTCTCCAAAAATTATCCAGCAGGATCACCTTGATTTTGAGAGTGTTAAATTATATGGAGAAAATTTTCTGTTTTTTTTGGTTGAATAAGTTATAGGATTGGTTTGGGAAGTATGTTGGTTTTTTAATTTTTTAGCTTTTTAATTATTTTCCTTTGAGGTTAAAAAATCTTATTTGGGATGGACTTTTTGACTTTGTTAACTTTTGTGAGAAAAAAATTGTAATAATTATGGGTTGAATGTGATATTTTGTCTTATTGAACTAAAAGGTCTTTTTTTTTTTTTTGGCTATTTTAGCCAAAAAGATTGGGACTAGGTCTCGTTTGGGAATAGATTTTTTTAGTAACTTTTTGACTTTTTAGTTAAAATATTATTTTAAAAAAATTAGTATGTTTGGAATGTGTTTTTGATTTTTTACGAAAATATGGATAAAAAATAAAGAGAAAATAAAATTTTTAATTTTTTGATATAAATTGTTGACTTTTTAATTTTTTTTATAATTTTTTTATTTTTATGTTAAAAAATAATCTTACTAAATGAGATCTAAAAACTTTTCAAACGAAAGCATAATGTGAAGAAATTTTTATGTACAGATGCATGTATGTGTGAAACTTTAGCCAATGACAGACTGACAGCAATTTTCTTTGTCAAAGAACGTCACTAATTAATCCGTTATAAAGTGACGGAAAGTTTGCTTGTGTTAGAAATTCTCTCTCCTCACTTATCTCTTTCATTCTACCTCACTCATTTTTCCAAGAAACCCACTTCACACTTCACCCTTCTCAATCCACAAAATAATGCTCAGACAAAATTTCACGAAAGTAGTTTGAGCTCTTTCACGCCTCAATCTCATCACTTTCAAGTTGGCCCTTCCACAAAATCAATTTTCTTCCACGATTGCATGACCCAAATCAAAAATGTTAATTTCCCAATCGAAAATGTTATTTTATTAATATTTTTATTAAATATCTCACATAAATATAAGACTCATATCACACCTACACGGTGTGGGTCTCATACTCATATAAAATATTTGATAAAAATATTAATAAAACATTTGAATTTCTTAACATTACCCATAATCAATATGACTTTCTCATTTTACACTACTGAAGCCTAATTTTTCGAAGGATTTAAGGCCCTGTTTGTTTCCCCCTTTCACAGTCTGGAGTGGACTGTGAATGATGAATAGTGAACATAACTCCTGTTTGTTTACAGATTTGAGGAATGGATTCATAAGTCGGAGGGCTTCAGATAGGCCTTGCATGTTGGGATTGTTAGTCTGCCCCAATACATGGTGTGGGGACGTAATTTTTGAATGATAACACGTGGCCGAGGTGTCACCGAAGTGTCAACCAAGGTGCCACGTGTCCTGGTCATGACGTCAAGATCATCTCAGCTAGACCGAGGTTATCTACGAAGATACCGAAATTCGGGATAAGCGGATAAGGGACAAGAGTCCTAAAATGAGAGAGAACTTCAGTTTGGGTAAAGATAAGACTCTTAGAGAGTTTATCCCAATCCTACTGGGAGTCCAAGATTAGTAGTAATCCTAAGTCCATTAAAGTTAGGCTTCTATTGGGACTAGGTTTGTGTTGGCTATAAAAGAGCGGCACCCCCATGGGTCTAAGGTATGCTTTTTATGCTCTAAATAGTGAGTTAAGCACTTTTGCTATCATTGAAAAATAACTGACTTGATCGTCGAGTGCCCCCGGGTTGACGAACCACCGCCGGAATCTCTTCTTTTTGTAACAGGTCGTTCAGGCTTAATCTATTCTGCCAATGTTCTCCAACTGAGTGCTTGATTGGTAGTGTAGCCGGAAATTGACACACATAATTTGGCGCCGTCTGTGGGAAATAAAGGAGAATAGATGGCCAACGATAGACAGAAATAGAAGGTTGGGGACGATACCCCTACTAAGAATGGGAAACATATTAACCTTGACGTCGAAGAAGATAACTGCAACGAAGAGACTCGTGATAAGAATCACGGAGGAAAGGACATCGGCTAGGAGGGCAACGCACTGAAGAAATCGGACCGGAGCAGGTATTATAACGAGGACGACCTCCAGGTATGGAAAGATAGATGCCTGCGGAGGGACGACGAGATGAAGGGAATGGCGGACAAATTGGCGGACCTGCAAATGGTCGTCAATTTCATGATGCAGAACAACGTCATGCAGCCACCGTTCCTGCTACAAGATACGCCAATTCCAGCAGCCAAGAAAGATGTCCAGAAATGGGGGGCAGAACACAGTTACAGTAGCCCCTCAGCACGACAGGGCAAAGGGGCATTCTCACCGGTCTTCACGGGAGGTCGGGCATGGAGAATCAAAGAGGGCTGGAGAATGATGCTTGGGAGTTGGAATGTACAAGCTAAGGTTGGTTTAACACTTGTTGAAATTTTAAAAATTTACAAGTTGAAGTTAAACCGATGTTATGTTTAACACTTGTTAAAATTTTAAAAATTTACAAGTTGAAGTTAAACCGAGGTCATGTTTAACACTTATTGAAATTTTATGAAAAATTTACAAGTTGAAGTTAAACCAAGGACATGTTTAACACTTGTTGAAATTTTAAAAAATTACAAGTTTAAGTTAAACCGAGGTCATGTTTAACACTTGTTAAAATTTTAAGAAAAATTTACAAGCTGAAGTTAAACCGGGGTCATGATTAAAAGAAGGAATGATATAGGTTATATCACCTCAGGATGTCGAGGTAATAGAACCTATGGGGCAGTTGTGGGGACATAATTTTTGAATGACAACACGTGGCCGAGGTGTCACCGAAGTGCCAGCCAAGGTGCCATGTGTCCTGGTCATGACGCCAAGATCATCTCGGCTAGGCCGAGGTTATCTGCGAAGATACCGGAATCCGGAATAAGCGGATATGGGACAAGAGTTGAGAGAGGACTTCAGTTTGGGTAAAAATAAGACTCTTAGAGAGTTTATCCCAATCCTGCTGGGAGTCCAAGATTAGCAGTAATCCTAAGTCCATTGAAGCTAGGCTTCTATTGGGACTAGGTTTGTGTTGGCTATAAAAGAAAGGCACCCCCATGGGTCTAAGGTATGCTTTTTATGCTCTAAATAATGAGTTAAGCACTTTTGCTATCTTTGAGAGATAACTGACTTGATCGTCGGAATGCCGCCGAGTTAACGAACCATCGTCAGAATCTCTTCTTTTTGTGACAGGTCGTTCGGGCTTAATCTATTCTGCCAGTGTTCTCCAGTTGAGTGCTTGATTGGCAATGTGGCCGGAAATTGACACACACAATTGGTATTGAAAATTAGTCCGTTGGTATTAGAGGAATAATTTACTTGTTTACCCTCTCCTCTTCTCTTCTCTCCTCTCTCTGTGTTCTCTTATCATATATATATATGCATATTTCATTCGATTTTCTCACCGACCAAACAGAAGTGTAGACAAATTGCAAATTAGATCAGTAAAATTGAAGAGTGATGCTCCGATCTTTGACTAAATTAGACAAAAGAGATACAAATCAAAAGACTTACATGATATGAAATTATACAAAATTGAAATTTGCAAGAAAACAAAATCGCATTGATTGTGAATATCGGCGCCGTCATCGTCGTTGACGGTAATGATCGGCGTCATTGCGTCGTCGTCGTCGTTGACGGTGAAGATTTGTGTCAGTGTCATCGTCATCCTTGTAGTGATGCTTTATTTTATTTTTTTTTAACAGAGAAGGCAAAGATGATGATGAATGAACAATAAACCAATATTTAAGTGAAAAAAAATCTTTCAATATATTGTTTAAAACCATGGGCTAGGCTAAGTTGTTTTCATAATTCAGTTTTATAAAAATAATTTATTATACTAATATTTTTATAAAAATAATTTCATATAATTATGTTTTATAAAAATAATTTAATATAATAATATTTTTATAAAACATAATTTTTAATATTAAAATATATCACAAAAAAACACAATTTTTCATAATCTACTCACTAATAATTTTCAAATTTCATAATAATGTAACAAAGGTATTTATGGAATTTAACTAGTTAATCACATTCTTATCTCTCAAAACAAACAGTAATTATTACTAGTCCACTTGTTATCAAACAAATACAAATTTCTTAGTTCCCTCACTAACTATTCTATCCAATCTACCTCTGAAAACAAAAAGAACCTAAGGCTTTAAATTCATTCATAAGTGCTGAGTTATAAAAGATCATGGTGTTTGATTCAAAGGAAATTTTTTCTGTAATAAATAGAAGGAACAAAGCTGTCTATCACCCTAAATTCATCAAATCAGGCTCTTAAATGATTTTTTTTTTTTTTTTTTGGGACAAATTACACTAACAGTCCCTATAATTTGAAATTCGTA